GGAAACTGCCAATATAAAGATCGGCAGCGTCACATTTGCGTCAAAGAGGGCAATAAGGTATCTTGGCGTCATGATAGACACAAGAATAACTTTCCGCGAGCAAGTATTCTGCTTAACACGCGGGGGCCAAAACAGTAACGACGTCATTAGGTCCGTCATCCTCTATGCTGCGCCAATATGGGCAAGAGCGATCGCAACGCCGAGCTACAGCCGGGGCATTTGCGCCACCTACAGACTGCGCGCAATCAGAGTCTGCTGCGCGTTCAGAACAGTCACTGACGACGCGGCACTCGTCATAGCCGGTATGGTGCCTCTGAAGGACTTAGTCGCCGATGCCGTGGAACGGAATGCACACGAGCCTCTACGACGCAACGATATCAGAGCGAATAGCATTGCACGATGGCAAAGAAGGTGGAGCAGCTCAAATAAAGGGCGGTAGACACATACTCTCATACCGGAGCTTGAGCCATGGGTAAACCGCACAGATTCTTTCGGGACATGTGTGCTTTCGGAGCTACTTAAAGCGCTTTGGCCACGAAGAAACTGATAAATGCTCTTGGTGCGGACGAGGTCTGGTGGAGGACGTGAGGGACGCCAACCACGCATACACACACACACACACATACACAAATACATACATAAACACACACAAGCAGCCACGCCTAAACACGCATGGGCTGCAATGTGCGCTTACTATGAGAACTTAATTGTTTCATAACTTTTTTGGGGACATACGATCTTCATGAAACTTTTCGATCGTGATTATAACAATGCAATGCGTGCATTTGCCAAATTATAAAATACGCCTTTTACAAAAATGTGGGTGAGGAGGTGGATATAGAGGTGGGGGTAAATTTTATCAAAAACCGAAATTATATAAAATGCATATAAGCATACATTAAAGATCTTGAGAGTATAACTTTAAAGTAGGAGATATAATTTAATAACTGATTTTTGCTAAGGTTTTTTCGATAAAAAAAAGAATGGAATGAGTTATCGATTTTTAGTGATAAAATCGATATCCGCGCTGTAAATACGAACATTTAACATTTGAAGTCTCTAGCTCTTATCTTCTGAAATCGACGCATTCAAACATACGGACAGACGGACGGACAGGACAGGTCAACTCGTCGCCCTGGTCTGCCACGCTTCCTTCTGCCTGTTACATACATTTCAACAAAACCATTATACCCTGATTTCCCATTGAAAATGGGTTCACGGTATAAAAAGATAAGTACTTACGCATCATTTAAAGTGCAATTTTTATACTCATTCAGGAAAGTGAATTATTATACTCATTTACGAAAGTAAATTAGTATATACACTTCGCGTCATCAGGTTAGCGCCCCCCCTTACACTCATTTTCTTTTACGTTTTTATCTTTGTCTATTGCACGTAACTTCTTGGTTTTTTTTTTATTTCATTATCATCATATGAGATGTCTCTCATACCAAAAAAAAGCGCGAGTAAAAACCCGTTATGTTTTATTTTCTATTCTGCTCTATTTTCGCAAAAATGTGTGCACTTATTTTGCGTCATCAGATTAGCGCCCCCAAATGCAATTGTAATTATCTTGCTTATTTTGGCAATTACACTCACCAAATTTTTTGTGAAGCTCAAAGTATTCAATATATTTATAGTATGGGTAAAGAAACAGTTTTATCTTTGGTTGAAAATCAAAGATTGAGGCATACTTTGAATCTAGACTATGCAACCATAAAATTGCTGAAAAATCAGGAAAAAACACAAAACTAAGTGGCAATTTTCTTACAAATAGGGAAAACTATGGAAAAAACTATATAAGCGGCAATAATCAAGTGATTTCAGAAGGAAATAGAAGAGCATTAGTTCGAGAAGCTTCGAATTCCCACGAATCGACCACCAAGATTAGGGTTAAAATCAGTGTTAAGACGAGCTTATCAACGGTCTAAAGAGCAATTAAGAAAGTTAATTACTTAAAGAAACAGAATGTAAAAAAAAAGTCACCAGTCGATATGCTGAGAAAAGAAATACGCATTAATTTTGGCCGGGCGAACATGACGTGGCCTATCCAATGGCAGCATGTTGGCTTTTCTGATGATAAAAATTGAATTTGGAAGGAACTGATGGCTATAATTATTATATCCATGACCTACTCATAGAAGAACATTATTTGGAACGGTTTCCAAGCCGCTGCGGCGGGGGGGTGGTGTGGCATTTGTGTTGGTATCAATATCTTACTACAGCACTTGCAAGCTTCAATTTTTGACATCGCGCATGAACGCATAGGACCATAATATCGTGTTTAAAACTGCTGTTCCGCATTTCTATAACCTGTCTGAAAACCGGCATTAGATTTTCTAGCATGATAATGCCCCACTTTAGACCGCCCGATCCCTGAATTCCTAGATTCAGGGCCAAAAAATTGATCTCATGTAGTGGCCACCATACTCACTCGAGCTTAATATCATTGGAAACGTCTGGGGATGGTTGGTCAGGAAAGTATATGAGTCCGGAAAGCATTATAGTACAAAGACAGAGTTAATCGAAGGTACTGAACACGCTTAGTCAACTATATCCTTGAATAATATTGAACAACTTTATAATTCCATTTCTAATCGAATTTTTTAAGTAATTTCAAACAAAAAACGGCACTACGCACTACTAATATTACTTAAAAATAACAGTAGCTTAAAATACAGGTGTTATTTTTGGTCATTAGCTTAAATAAATTGAATTTAATGCAGGGGGCGCTAATCTGATGACCAAATTTTTGTTACATATTTTTTGTACATTTTACAAAAAAAATTATTAAAAAATAATCCTTATTGTTACAGTAGCCATTCTTTTTGTATTTTAAAGAGAAATAAATGGAGTATAATATAAAAAAATTTCAAAGATGGAGCTCTGATGGTTTAGATTTTATTTAGCTTTGAGGTTGAGTGTAAAGGGGGGCGCTAACCTGATGACGCGCAGTGTATATTGGTTTTGTGCAATTTTATTTTGGCGCTATTGAAACTAGAGAAATTTGGAGCACATACTCGTGTATATCCCCGATTTATAAAGTGTTAAAATTTTCCCGATCCGCCCACTACGGAAAATGCATTTTCCGATATACCAGAAATCATGTTTGTTGAAGAGCTAGAAAGGTTTTTTATCGATAAAAAATAAGGGATGAGTTATCGATTTTTAATGATAAACTCGATATCCGCGCTGTAAATACGGACATTAAAAAAATTGAAGTCTCTAGCTCTTATATCTTCTGAAATCGACGCGTTCATACATACGAACAGACGAACGGACAGACAGACGGGCAGGGCCAAATCTACTGAGCTCGTCGCCCTGATCAAGAATATACTTTGTGGGGTCTGCCACGCCTCCTTCTGTCTGTTACATACATTTCAACAAAACCATTGTACCCTGATTTCCCATTGAAAATGGGGTCAGGGTATAAAAAACGTGTAATTTGGATTTTATTGACTTTTGTCTGCCGCAATTTAAAGTGCCTGACCGGGCCAAGGCAAGTATAGTATTCATTCCGGCTGCTTTGTTATGTAGTATTATCATGAAGTCCATACGAGTTTTGCTTTAAAAATCGATAAATTGTCCCGTTATTTTGTTATCGATTAAAAGGATTATCGAAAACCAGTAATAAATTTATATGCTCAAAAATCAAAACATATTTATAGATAATTTTCGATAAAAAGGAAAACGGATGAGATATCGGAATAATATGAAAAAAATCATATTAACGAGCATGCATGCTATCTAGGTATTCACTAAATTGTTGCAATCATTCACTAAATTATTTTCTTATTTTCTCTGTTAAGTTGACAACTGCTTTCTCGGCAGGACCTTCCCATAGCTAACTTCCAGTTAGCATCCATATATGATCGCTCGGGTCAACGCAGTTAAGTGCCTTCGTTTCGCGTTTTATAAAACGCATTGCCTCTGCATCTCCCTTTCGCCTTATTAGTTCTTATTAGTTCTCCAAGACGCCTTATTAGAATCGCAGAAGCTTTGCCTAAACTGTTGCAAGTTATGTCTAAAGTCCAAACGTATTTGGATTTCAACACGCGAGGTGTCATCCTCGGCACGGCGGTAATCCATACATGCCATTTCAGAGCAATCTATCGCTTTAGTCGACTCAAAGTCTGAAGCGACTTTCATTTCTAAGCGACTTTTATGTAAGATGAAGTTGCCTTTCAAATCTGTGCAGACTCAAGTTTTATAAACTGGTTTGTAACATTCCATTCAGAAAATTTAGATCGAGGTCAAGAGCACGGAAAGTGATGTCCTGATAGGCGCGGATATCCTTCCATATTCAGTGAAGTTACCATCCTAATATTTTTGGACCCATTCTAAGTCTAGAGATTACTTTTGGTTGAGTACTGACAGGCCCACTTTCACAGTCGATACCAGGAGCGGTCTCCCTCTTTACAACTCAAGTTCATACTGTCGATCTCAGAAGATATGCGAGCTAGAAAGTTAAATCGGTTTCCGAAAATCGATACCTGCTCCCGTCACTTTGCTCCACCATATAGAAAATCTGCTATAAAATTATATCTCCTACATATGTAGGAGAGGAGGGCTTAGTTATAATATAATATAAATATAATCTACTCTCCTTCCACTACATTTACAAAAAGGGTATTACAAATACTAGATCCACCCCATCCCCAAATCGCACCCTTATCAAAGACCGTATGTCAAATACTAGACACTTGTGCCTCAACAGACAATTCAGTCTTGTTCTAATAAAGTAGTCCAATTATATTAAAAGTTATGAAACAATTAATATTTAATAAACAATTAATTCTCTTTTTAAAAGTTATTAAACACCTATATTAAAAGTTATGAAACAATTAATATTTAATAAATAATTAATTCTCTTATTAAGCCCACACTGCAGCCTATATGTGCATATGCGCGTGTGTGTGAACAGGACATCAACTACCGCAATTACAGCCCAACACAAAAAAAAAAAAAAATTAATAAATAAAAAACAAAAACCTACTTACCTTAAATACTAAATCAGAATATGTTGAAGTCTCCTGGGTCAGAGGCACACTCATTTTTTTGCATTCTACTGGGTCATTTATATTATCTGTCTCATAATCAACTATTGTGTTGATGGGTGTTGACCTGTTTCCTATCAGTCATTTAAAAAATCGTAGTATTTTTTTTACATTATTGATAAATCAATTTGATGAAAAAGGAAATGTTTATGTTGTGACTACTTACTTTTTTTAGATTTTTCGCACTCTTTTGGACGCCTGCGCCGTGTATGAATTGTGTCACGTCTCATAGAATGTGGTCTATTGACGCCATGAAGTTTGAAATATAATCCACAAGCGTTACAAACCATTTCTCCTCTTACACTACGTCTCCAAATTGTTGTTGTCAAAGTACCACAATTAGAACAAGACATATCCTTTTGAGAAGTAGATAGAGATGATGTACTGCTACATTTTTGACTCTATAAAAATTATATTTATACCTATAAATTTATTGTATCAATGTATAATTCTTTTAGCTATACCTTTTTATCTTTTAATCCGTCAACCGCCACTGGGGATTCCATACAATCTGATTTAGTGGGAAAACTTTGCTTTCTTCTACATATTTTAACATTTGAATCAGGCATGTCCTGTTAATTAAAATGTTAATCTTTCTGTTAAATGCTTAATATTTTTATACACATTAACATTGAAAATGGGAAATCTGGGAATATTGATTTTGTTAAAAGTATGTAACAGGCAGAAGAAGTATATATTCTTGATCAGGGCGACGAGCTGAGTCGATTTGGCCCTGTCCGTCTGTCTGTCCGTCCGTCCGTATGTATGAACGCGACGAGCTGAGTCGATTTGGCCCTGTACGTCTGTCTGTCCGTCCGTCCGTCCGTCCGTCCGTCCGTATGTATGAACGCGTCGATCTCAGAAGATATAAAAGCTAGAGACTTCAAATTTTTTTTCCTAGGTCCGTGTATATCACGCGTTGATCGAGTTTTTCTCTAAGTATCGATAACTACTCACGATTGTTTATTATCAATTAAAAACCTTCTCGAAAGTGAATTATTTGATCATCTCCTACACTTTTAGAGCTAAATCTTCCAAATTTTAAACGTACACTTATATGTATTTTATACAATTTCGGTTTTTGTTAAATTTTACCCCCACCTCTATATTCACCCTCTCACCCTTACCTTTGTAAAATTTGTATTTCAAATACTGAACACTTGCATATTAATTTATAATCATAATCTGACAGTTTCATGAAGATAGTCCATCCAGAAAAAAAGTTATTGAACAATTAAGTTCTCATAGTAAGCCACCACTGCAGCCAGTGCGTGTTTATGCGTGCGTACGTATGACTGTGTGTATGCATGTGCGAATAATTATTCAAATATCAGTTGCTCGAAGGGTTCCGGGGATCTCGTAGTCGAGCAGTCTCGACTAGAGCTTTCTTACTTGTTCTTTTTATACTCAAAGTGAATGAAATAATGAGTATATTGGTTTTGTGCAATGTCCATCATGCTGTCCGTCCATCTGTCTGATTGTCCGTCTGTCCGATTGTCCGTCTGTCCGATTGTCCGTCTGTCCGATTGTCCGTCTGTCCGAATGAACGCAATCTATTTCGGCGCTATTGAAGCTAGAGACTTGAAATTTGCAACACATACTCGGGTCTATCTCCGATTTATAAATTTTCTCGATCCGCACACTAGGGGCGCGGTAAATCATATTAGTTGAAAATGTAGAACGCTGAACTTTTGAATGTAGATCCGCGTCGACCAACGAGCTATGGCGGATATATCTACGCCCATTGGCGGTGTAGCAAATCGGATAAAATGATATCTCCTAGAGCTTTAAAGCTAGAACGTTAAAAATTTGCAGGTAGGCTAATGTTATCATTTATATTATATTCTTACGCCTACTAAGGGCGTGCCAAATCGGACCTGATGATATAGTGATTTTTCAAACTCTGCTATATTTTGAGCACGATTGCTGCTAGAGACCTCCAATTTGGTATATATACTCGGGCTCACCACCCAATACCAAAAAGCTAAGGCGGATATATGTCCGCCCACAGGGAGCGTGGCAAACCGTAAAAGTTTATACCTCCAAAACTATAAGAGCTAGAGCTCCAAATTTGTATAGTTAAGTTACTAGTAGCCTCCTTTAGTATTGAGCCAAGAATAATTGTTACGCCTCTTTGTGGGCGTGCAAAAATTCCCTGTAATATTCACATTAAGGGTCCAAATTTAGCAGTTAGGTTACCGTTAGCTAGTTCTATGAACTGACCAAAAACGAGGTGTCTACGGCCACTAGGGGCGAATTTGAATTTTTTACAGTATTAGAATTAAACTTAGCTAATAAATTGCTAATCGGGTGTGAATGAGTATTCCGCAGTCGGTAACGCCCGACTGCAACGTTCTTATTTGGACACCGTGAGCCCATTGAAAATGGGAAGTCTGGGTATAATGGTTTTGATGAAATGTATGTAACAGGCAGAAGGAGGCGTGGCAAACCCCACAAAGTATATATATTCTTGATCAGGGTGCCGAGCTGAGTCGATTTGGCCCTGTCCGTCTGTCCGTATGTATGGACTCGTCGATTTCAGAAGATATGAGAGCTAGAGACTTCAAATTTTTTTTTCAGAAGACAAGAGCTAGACTAGACTTGAAATTGTTTTCAAGATAGTCTATTCACAAGAAAAGTTATTAAACAATTTAGTTCTCATAGTAATCGTAAACTGCAGCCTATGCGTGTGAGTGTGTATCTTTAGTAAGCAGAAGGACGCGAAGAATTATTGAAATATCAATTATTCGAACGGTTCAGGGAATTTCGTAGTCGAACAATCTCGACTAGAGCTTTCATACTTGTTACCTTTAAAAGTGGCAACGGTTCCTCAGGTACTTTTGTCAATGCTATAGTTGATGCCACAGGAAATACAAAAGTTTGAGTCATCATATTCCGTAAGAGTTGTGTTGCCCGACTATCGTCTTTATTTTTAGCTGAAAATGAAAAAAAAAAAAAAAAAAACTATACATTAAAGCATAATAGTGCAAAGTATTTAAGAAGTCGCTGAAGAGATTGATTAGACTATATAATTATACCCTGAACGCTTTAAAAATAGGAAATCAGGGTATAATGGTGTATGTAACAGACATAAAATATATACATAATTACATGTTTAAACAATGCGGTTGGTTAAATAGAAAGATAAATTTATTTTAATAGCATTGGAGCCGAACAAGTTTCTTCTTGTGATACCAAATTACAACTGAACTTTAATTCTAAGCATCGGCACTGGCAGCTATGAAGCTTCAGCGTCATCCGATGCCGTTATAATGTTCTAGGTGGCCTGATCATGTATCTACTCTTATGAAGTAAAGCTTCGGGTGACCTGATTATGCAGTTAGATTTCTTGTAAAAGCTTCAAGTGGTGATTCTGCGAGCTTTGAGAGTCGTAAGATTAAGCTGCAGAGTGGCTTAAACTATCTCTCTTAAGTATGCATACTGCCTCCATTACCAGTACTAGCCATTGAAAATGGGATATCAGGGTAAAATGGTTTTGTTGAAATGTATGTAACAGGCAGAAGGAGGCGTGGCAGACCCCACAAAGTCTATATATTCTTGATCAGGGCAACGAGCTGAGTTGATTTGGCTCTGTCCGTCTGTCCGTATGCTTGAACGCGTCGATTTCCGAAGATATAAGAGCTAGAGTCTGATTTTTTTTAATGATCGTATATACAGCGCGGATGTCGAGTTTGCTTTTAAAATTCGATAAATCATCCCGGTGAGTTTTTATCGATTAAAAACATTCAAGTTCAAGTCACGATAGCTAATTGTGAATGATTTTTCTTTTTTTTAAATTTCTCAAATATTCAATATAATATGTAGATCATATGCTGAAAGTTTCATTAAATTCCGTTCAGTCAAAAATTAATAAAAAATAATCAAATATTTGGCCAATTAACAAACGCACGTGCAGCAGCTACAACAGCATCGTATGCGTGTGCACACATATATTCAAACTTCTTCTAGAAACATTCGTTGAATCACATCAGCTGTTAGTTTCGTATAGTTTTGGTGGATGGCGCAGCAGCAGTAAATCTATTTCAGTTTTGCCAGCGCCTCTAGCAGGAGTGGAGTGGCCTAGTGTGTTAGCTTCATGACGCTCGATCGAGAAGTCGCGGTTCGAATCCCGATCGATGCAACTGATGTTAATTTTTTTTAATTGTTTCAAAATATTTTTATATTTTCATAAATGAGTTTTCTATTTAATTTATATTTTTAAATACACCGAAATTGAAATTTTAACTATACTTTATGTGCGTTTTTAATATTTTGGTTATTCTAGCAGATTCTTAGAATCACATCAGCAGTTAGTTTCGTTTAGTTTTGGTAGATGGCGCTGCAGCAGTGAATCTATTTGAGTTTTGCCAGCGCCACTAGCAGGAGTGAAGTGGCCTAGTGTGTTAGCTGCATGACGCTCGATCGAGAAGTTGTGGTTCGAATCCCGATCGGTGCAACTGATGGTAACTTTTTTAATTGTTTCAAAATATTTTTATATTTTATTGAATAAGTTTGGTATTTTGTTTATATTTTTAAATACATCGAAATTGAAATTTCAGCCATACTAAATGGGCATTTTTATATGTTGGGTTCAGGGTAGTATCTAGTCGAGCACTCTCGACTAGAGTTTTCTTACTTGTTATTAGTTAGGTTCAGGGTAGTATCTAGTCGAGCACTCTCGACTAGAGTTTTCTTACTTGTTTTTAAATGTCCGTATATACAGCGCGGATACCGAGTTTATCACAAAAGATCGACAACTCGACCCATAATTTCTCATGGATAAACTCTTTTATTAGAAACTCTAAATTTTAAATGTATACTTATATGCATTTTATACAATTTCGATTTCTGTTAAAATTTACCCCCAACTCATTGAAAATGGGAATTCAGGGAATAATGGTTTTGTTAATAGTATGTAACAGGCAGAAGGAGGCGTGGCAGACACCACAAAGTATATATACTCGACGAGCTGAGTTGATATAGCCCTGTCCGACTGTACGTCCGTCTGCCGTATGTTTGAACGCGTGGATCTCAGAAGATATAAAAGCTAGAGACTTGAATTTCCTAGGTCCGCGTATAGCACGCGCATATCGAGTTTTGCTTTAAATGTCGATAAATTGCCCCGTTATTTTGTTATCGATTAAAAGCATTATCGAAAACCAGTAATAAATTATATCTCCTACAGCTTTAAAGCTAGAGTCCAAATTTTATATGTATACTTATATGCATTTTATACAATTACATGTTTTGTCAAAATTTACTCCCCACCCCTAATTCAGCCCCTCACCAATACCTTTGTAAAAGGCGTATTTCAAATACTAGAAACTTGTGCTTTGGCAAGTACATGCATATCTATGTTATATTCATAATCTGAAAGTTTCATGACGAATGTACATCCACAAGAAAAGTTATTGAACAATTAAGTTCCCATTGTAAGCAACCACTGCAGCCAATGCGTGTTTATGCATGCGTACGTAAGTCTGTGTGTGTGCGTGCATGTGTGCATATAAGCACGCGCTCTGCAAACTGCGCAGTAAGCAGCGGCTGCGCTTGGGCTGCGCTGCAATGTGGGCAATATTAAGAATATTATATTTATTTGTTGAATAATTTCTTTTGTAGACATACAATCCTAATGAAACTTTTAGAGCGTAATCATATGGTTAAAATGTGTGTACATTCTAAAGCACAAGTCTCTAGTACTTTAAATGCGTTTTTTACAAATTGGGGGCGAAGGGGGCGTGGTATCCAAAATCTGTAAATTACAAAATCTTTGTATCTATTAGCTTTATATACAACGCAAATTTGAAGTCTCCGGGTCTAAAAGTGTTCAAATTAAGCTGAAAAAACAATGTCGATTTTTCGATTATTCTCGATAAAAAAGTTATCGGACGAGTTATCGAAAAAATAAAGCAAACTTGTACTGCCTATGGTATACACGAGTATGCATGCCAAATTTCAGCTCTCTAGCTCTTATATCTTCTGAGATCCTTTTGCTCATACGGACGGACGGACGGACGGACAGACGGACAGGGCTATATCGACTCAGCTCGTCGTCCTGATCAAGAATATATATACTTTATGGGGTCTGCGAGGATTCCTTCTGCCTGTTACATACTTTTCACAAAACCATTATACCCTGATTTCCCATTTTCAATGGGTTTAGGGTATAAAAATGCCCATTTAGTATGGCTGAAATTTCAATTTCGATGTATTTTAAAATATAAACCAAATACCAAACTCATTTAATAAAATATAAAAATATTTTGAAACAATTAAAAAAGTTAACATCAGTTGCACCGATCGGGATTCGAACCACAACTTCTCGATCGAGCGTCATGCAGCTAACACACTAGGCCACTTCACTCCTGCTAGTGGCGCTGGCAAAACTCAAATAGATTCACTGCTGCAACGCCATCTACCAAAACTAAACGAAACTAACTGCTGATGTGATTCTAAGAATTTGCTAGAATAACCAAACTATTAAAATCGCACATAAAGTATAGTTAAAATTTCAATTTCGGTGTATTTAAAATATAAATTAAATAGAAAACTCATTTATGAAAATATAAAAATATTTTGAAATAATTAACAAAATTAACATCAGTTGCATCGATCGGGATTCGAACCGCGACTTCTAGATCGAGCGTGTTGCAGCTAACACACTAGGCCACCCCACTCTTGCTAGTGGCGCTGGCAAAAACTCAAATAGATTTACTGCTGCTGCGCCATCTACCAAAACTAAACGAAACTAACAGCTGATGTGATTCAACGAATGTTTCTAGAAGTTTGAATGAATGTGTGCACACGCATACGATGCTGTTGTAGCTGCTGCACGTGCGTTTGTTAATTGGCCAAATATTTGATTATTTTTTATTAATTTTTGACTAAACGGAATTTAATGAAACTTTCAGCATATGATCTACATATTGTATTGAATATTTGAGAAATTAAAAAAAAAAGAAAAATCATTCACAATTAGCTATAGTGGCATCTGATTTTAACTTGAATCTTTTTACTCGATAAAAACATAACGGGATGATTTATCGAATTTTAAAAGCAAACTCGACGTCCGCGCTGTATATACGGTCATTTTAAAAAAAATTCAAGTCTCTAGCTCTTATATCTTCGGAAATCGACGCGTTCAAGCATACGGACAGACGGACAGGGCCAAATCGACTCAGCTCGTCGCCCTGATCAAGAATATATATACTTTATGGGGTCTGCCACGCCTCCTTCTGCCTTTTACATACATTTCAACAAAACCATTATACTCTGATTTCTCATTGAAAATGGGTTCAGGGTATAAAAAGAAGGTACACATTGTAATTGACCTTTGATCTGCAAATAATTGAATCTCTGTTGCCTCGCATAATCCAAGCTTTCTTTGGCGCCGTTAGTGTGTTACAGTTTTTTTTGCTCATTTTTTCGTCTCGCACTTTCGCTTTGCGCGCATTGCTTGCGCTCTCGCATATAAAATTTCGCTCCCGCTGGCGCAGATAATTTCTCTCTTGCCTTGCGCTTTTCATTTGCATGCGCGCTTGCAATATCGCTCTTGTTTCACTGTCTCGCTTGCACATATTAGTACGTGCTCACTTTGCCCTCATTGCATGATTACTTGCAATATCGCTTGCACACACAGTAGCGCTCTTGCATTGTGCTCACTAGTTGCTCTCGCCACTTGGATTTATTGTCGGTCAAAACTTTCACTCTCGCTTTGCGCGTATGATCTGCACTAATCTTTGGCATTGTAGCTTGCAATATCGTTGAGTTCCCACTTGCACATACCGGCGCGGTCTCGCTTTTGCATGTGTATGTGTGAATGCATTGCACTCAATTGCTCTACACAGTTAAGATTCACTAAATATATCACTTACACTAATAGTCTCTCAACATTCTGGTTGTTGTTTTCGCTATATCGTTAACAGCTGTCTGTAAC